CACAAATCCACACTTAACCCCAACAGTTCACGAACTGCACAAAAAAAAGACACCAAATAAATTAAAAAGTAAAGTAAAAGTGCTCAATTGAGTGACTTAGTGTGAGGTCATAGAACGAAATATTTCGAGTGTGAGCCATGTGTGATTACTAAGCAAGATGTCGATGTATTAAATATATATGTAGCCACAAACTGCATAAAACACATTCGTCTTAATTAATTAATTGATGAAAAACATTTTTCATGAGCTTGCCTTCGAGCTATCAAGCGAGTGTGCGGCGCGGGACTCGTTTTCGTGTTTTTTTTTCTTTCTTTTTTTTTGTTGCCTGCTTTTTCATGTTTGATCTGTTTTTAATTTTTCATTTAGCAAATCATGAGGATTTGAGTTCTCTTACTCTTAGTAAATGCTGACGATTGATGCTTGTTGATGATTTCGACTTGAGAGTTTTTTTTTCGAGTTGATTTTAATTTATTGGATGTGAAAAATGATTTTGAAGACTTGAAAGTTGTAAAATTGATGGAAATGATGTGAAAATGGCGGGAAAATATGAACTTAATGGGGAGGCTGGGATTAGAATTTTTGGGGGGGTTTGATGAACTTTTCGATAGATTTTGAATTTTTTATTAAAAAATAATTGATTTTTCATCTTTTTTAAAATTTTTTTGAAGATTTTGAATCGAATTTAATTGAATTCCAAACCAAATGATTAATCATAAACTTTTAAATTCTTTAAAATCCTCAAAAACTAAAAGCAATTTTTACAACCAATTTCAAAGTTCATAGAAAATGTCAAACTTGTCTTGCGTCATTTCTTAAATTTATTCGTTCTTAAAAAGTCTTTTTTTAAATCTTTTTATATAATTTTTAACGATTGTTTTATGACTTTTTAATTTTCGCATTAAACTTCGTTATCATTAAATAATTTACAATAAAATTATTTATTGTTGTTTATAATCATTAGCGGATTTATTGATGCAAAGTTTATTTTATTGTTAACGAAGGCTTTTTGTTTAATTTTTTTAAATTTTAATGACTTCCTTAAGAAGCTTTTGTATCCGTTTATTAGCTTTTAAATTAAAAATTGAGCAATTTAAGATGGATTTTGATTTAAAAACATTAAAAATAAATTTAAAAGTTTTTGAAATCTAAATTTGCATAATTCTTATGATTTTTGATTTAAAACATTCTTAATAATTTTTTAAAAAAAGTATAAAATTGGCCAAGAAATATTTTTTAAATTTTTTGATTTTTTTGAAGTTTTAAAAATTCAAATAAAGTTTAAAATGTTTTTAAAACCCAAAAAAAATAAAAACATTTTTTTTAAAATTAGCTTTAATTTTTTAAGGTTACAAATCAATAAAAACTTTAAAAAAATCTAAAAAGCAGTCTTAATTGCAGCCACAAAAACCCAATTTCAACTATCCACGACTAAGCACAAAACAAACATAGAAAAAAGGCTAAAGCCGGTGCCGTTTGGCTTTACAAGTTTGATTGATTAATTGATAAAAAAATCAATTTCCATTCATAATAAGTCATAAAAACTAGGTTCAATAAATATGCAGGAAGGGCAGCAAAATCACGATCGTCTGACTTAGTCTTGTCAAGTTTATCAGTAATGAAATAATAATTTTTTTTAAAAATGAAATTAAAATTGGATTAACAAATAAAGTATTGATGGATGTGTGGCTTAATGTTGATTCAGGAGATTTTTTATTTATTTTAATAAAGAAAAATTGAAAAATAAATTAAAAAAAATTAAATTTCAAAAAATAATTTTAATAAAAATTCACAAACACTCGCAAAACACTTTTCATTAATCTCAAATCTTGTCTTGTTTAATTTCAACTTACACGAACAAGTCTCAATGAACCGATAATTTAGTCCACTTTAAGCTAAGGGCTCGTTCACTTATTACGTAACGCAAAAAAACGAGTTTTTAGACCCCCCCTCCCCCCCCTGTAACAAAGCGTAACAAAATCTTAGACCCCCCCTCCCCCCCCATAACGTAACAATAATTTTTTTCATTTAAATTGTTTATCAAATGTTTATTATACTTCCTTTAAGTATGTAAAAGTAAATAGAAGGAAAGCAATAAAAAAATATATTAATCGTTTACATCCATATTATTAACTAAACGCAAAAAAAAACTCATAAGTTTTGTAATCATTAGTCGTTTTCCCAAATTGGTTGAAAATGTTCTTAAGTTAAAATTCAACGTTAAAAAAATTTTAAAATTAATATAGAAAAAATTATAAAAAAATATAATTTTTGAAAAGTTACGTAACAAAATTTAGACCCCCCCCCCCTCCCCCTGTAACAAACAATAACAAAATCTTAGACCCCCCCTCCCCCCCTAGTGCGTTACGTAATAAGTGAACGAACCCTAATCTATAAAAGCAACTTGTAAGACTGAATGTACAAATTAAACACATACAGTCGATAAACTCATTTCAAAATATTTGATTTTTGATTAACTTTTTTTTTCTTATTTCTTGCGACCCACACGAAAAAAAAGTATTGAATTTTTTATTACAAATTGTGACAAAATGAAACATGAGTTGAAGTATTGATAGGTGCAATTGGCTTGATTTGCTACTGTCGTGAATGTAATCAGCTGCGGGGCTTTTTAATGAAATTTTTATTATTTAATTTTTTTTGAAAAGTGGCGATTTTAAAATTTAAATTTTTATTGAATCGTGCAATATTTTTTAAAATTTTATTAATTTTCGTTTGAATTTTATTGATTTTTAAATTTTGTTTTCTGAAAAATAATTTAAAAAAATTGAAAACAAATTTTAAAAAATTAAAAACCAATTTCAAAAATATTTTAAAAATAATATTAAAAGCTTTAAACATAAAAAAATAAAATTAAAAGCTTAAAAAAATTCAAATATTTTCTTAAAAACATTTCAACTTTTTCGCAACTAAGTTTCAACTTTTACTACTCATTTCACAACAATATGTCAAAATATTTTCTCAAAAACTCCTCACCTGCACCTCATTAATCCCTAAAAAGTTACGCAAACACCTCATTTTCCAAAGAAATATTTTAAATTTTCCAAAAAAAAATTAAAAACTTTTTTTTTCATTTTCTTTTGTTTCTAGTTCCATAAAAACAGTTTCACGACAAAAATGTCTTTTGTGATAATTTTAAAATTTCACAACTGCCGACTTTCCACACTTCAGGATTCTTTTTGTGTTCATTTTCCATTCAAATTAGGTCGTAAACTTCTCATTTTGTTGAGGGTTGTAAAAATTTGAGACAAAGTCACGAAGAAAATGATGAGGAAAATTGGAGTTTGGGAGTTGCATGACAAAGGGGGTCTGCTGTTGCAATTCATGAGGTCCTGTAGATTCTTTTATGGTTTGATTCTTGAGGACATCCAAAATCCCACCCAAAACACTCAACATAACCTCAAATAAAAAACTTATCGCAAAAAAAAATATTTTTATTCCGACAAGTTTTCATTTTATTGGCTCTTATCATTGTGAAATATTATTGCGATTTCTATTATTATCTAATGAGCATTCATTGTCGCTACCGCATTTTGGTATTAAAAGTTATCATTTCTGAGTGACGGGGTGGACGTCACGAACTAGAATGTAAGCAGAAAATTGCTTTGTAGATTAAAACTTTTTTTAAAATGACTTTTAAGAGTTTTTTAATGAAGTTTTTTTTGTGTTGATTCTTGGCATAGGTTGAGCAGTTAGGGCTGTTTTGAAGCCTTAGGCACGTTTTAAATTGATTTTTTGATGGTTTGTATTGATTAAAGTTGGAGTTGGACAATGAATTGGCTGAACTGTAGTTTAAGTAGTTCAAAAAGCTGATGTGAAGGCATCTGAACCTCAAAACTTCAGTGTAAAGACACCTGATTCTCAAAACTTTAGTGTAAAGACACCTGCATCTTTAAAAGATTAATTTCAATGCACCTGAAACTCATAAAAACTAGGGCGAAGGCACCTGAAGTTGAGAAAGCTAGTGTGAAGGCACCTGAACCTCAAAAACTAAGTGCAAAGGCACCTGAACTCTAGAATTTAAGTAGGAAGACACCTAAACTCAAAAAGTCATGTGTGAATGCACCTGAGTCACAAAACCTAAATGTGAAGGTACTCGAACTTAAAAACTCTAGTTGGAAGACACCTGAACCTCAAAAACTTAGCATTAAGGAACGCAAAATGACCCCCTTGCCAAGTAGTGCTCTCTAGTTCTTCAAAAATTTCAGTTTCTTTCCTATGATCATCTAAAATCCAAAATCAAGCCTAATTGACATTCAAACAGTATTTTTTCTGAGAAATTTGACAGTCAAAAGACGTTTTTAATGTATTTTCTGTCATGCTGCATGGTTATTAAATTGTTCACTAAACGACAAAAATGATGTCCTTTAAATACTCTTTTGGTTGAATGCCGCTTGAATATTGATAAGGTTTGAGGTCGGTTTAGTGTTTAAGCAGCCATTTGACTAGATTTTGACAAAATTGTAACCATTTCTATCTTAAGATTCTCAAAAGTCCAACTCATTGCCAACTAAGCATCCCTGCACCTTAACTTAACAATCTCAAAAAAACCAGCAGCATCACCAACAATGGCTACGGAGTGAATGTGAAACTTTATCGTGATGTCATTCATTTGGAATGCTTTTCTTATGTTCTTTAACGAGGCTGATTCTCTCTCGTTCTGCTGTGTTCTTCTCTTTCCTTCCTTTTGTCTCTCTTGGCTGCTACTTTCCATATTTTTTTGTGCTTGACTTCTTCTTGGTCTGCCTTTTTTGTGTCTCATGTCTTGTTAGTTCTTGTTTGGTGATTTTTTTTATTAAAATTTTTATCTTGAATTTGAATTGAAATAGTGAATGGATTTTTTTGGGGGGTTCAGGTGCTTTCACAGTATGTTTTTGAAGTTCAGGTGCCTTCACAGTATGTTTTTGAAGTTCAGGTGTCTTTACCCTGACTGTAATTGAAGTTAAAGCTGCCTTCACACTAGAGTTTTTGAGATTGTGGTGCCTTCACAACCTGTTCGATAGTTCAGGTGTCTGGACACTAGAAAAGCAAGGTTCAAGTGCCTTCACACTAAAGTCGAATGTTTCAGGTACATTCACAGTGGAATTGAATGGTTCAAATGCTTTCACACTAGAATTGAATTGTTTAGGTGCTTTCACACTAGAACTGAGTAGTTCAGGTGCCATCACACTAGAACTGAATTGTTCAGGTGCTTTCACACTAGAATTGAATGGTTCAGGTGCCTTCGCACTAGAATTGAGTGGTTCAGTTGCCTTCACACTGGAACTGAATTGTTCAGGTGCACTCGCACTAGAATTGAATGGTTCAGGTGCCTTTACACTAGAATTGAATGGTTCAGGTGCCTTTACACTAGAATTGAATGGTTCAGGTGCCTTCACACTAGAGTTGCAAAGCTTCATATTAAAGTTTATTTGAATAAAATCAAAACAATCACAAATCAAAACTTCACGAAATCTGATTCAATATGTCTAAATATGTATATCCATAACCACATAATTATCCCCGACTTGTAGTCATTTAAATCTATTAACCACTTTAATATTTCAATTTTTTACTCTATTCAAATTCAATTTGCAAGAAAAAAAAGTGATTCAAATTCCTCAGCACAAAAAAATCACATTAATCCACCCTGCAGCGATTTTTCGTATTTAAAATCACCGTCAATTAATAACTACAATGCCTCATTTTGAGTTAGAGTTTATTTGCTGGATTTAATTCGCAACCGCAAGCTCCATTGTTGAACTGAAAAAAATGGGCAGAAATAGAGTCACAAAAAAAAATCTGCAGTACTTTAAAGCACATGCAGTTAGCGACATAAAGACACACAAATACAAAGGCAAAAATGCACAAATTCAACAAATGAGCGGCAATAATTCATGAAGTGCTTCAGCAACAACAACAACATCAACAAAATTGAAAAAGCTTGCAGCCTTTTGTGTCTATAAAGTTCTATTATGATTAAATTATATTATTGCAGTAAATATATGCAGTGTGCACATTTAATGCATTATGAATGTTTATTCAAGTCGAAGGTTTTCTTTATGCGCTCATCGGTCGCTCGCTTGCTATTTATACGATCGATTTACTGCTGCTTTGATTGTCGCTTGGATTTCCTTTGAGTAACTTTTTATGGGAGTTATTTTAGTAATTAGCAATTGACTTTTGTTTTAACGGTTTTTTGTGACACATTTAAGAAAGTTAAAGGCACCTTAACCTTTTTAGATCCAGTGCAGAGGCACCTTAACCTTAGAACACTCGTGCAAACTTTGTAATATAGTGTGAAGGCACCCCAACCTTTGAACTCTAGTTTGAAGGCACCTTAACCTTTTATCACTAATGTAAAGGCACCTAAACTGTTAAACTCTCTTGTGAAGTCACCTGAACCATAAATGTTACTCGTCGAAGCAAATTGACCTCAAAAATCTAGTGTGAAGCAACCTTAACCTAGTGCTTCGATGTAAAGGCACCTGAACATTAATGCTGCGATGTAAAGACACCTAAACTTTGAAATATTGTGTGAAGGCACCTGAATCTTAGAGCTCTCGTGTGAGTGCACCTGAACTTAGCAACTCAAGTGTGAAGATACCTGAATCTTAGAACTCTAGTGTAAAGGCACCTGAACCTTTTAGCTATAGTCTGAAGGCACCTCAAGTAGATAAAAACATAAATTTCAATGCAAATAACCTCGAAATTCTCAAAAACCAGAGCCAAAAAGAAAATTCAACAAGAAAAATCTCGATGTAAACAGAAAATCCGACCAGAAAACATGACGTGTGATGCTAGCCGCGATCAATTTCATTATTTCTCAACTCTTTACATTTGCTACTGATTTTTCTGTAAATTCTGGTTCTGTTGTACTTTCACTATGTTTATTTATATTTGAGAGAAAAAAAGAAAAGAAATGAAAAATTTTCATGCAGCACGGCTCAAATTCTTTTTTCTTCGATGAAATTAAAAACTCATGAAAATGTGTAAAAATATGAAAATTGAGATTTTTTTTCATGAATTAAACCGACAGTTTTTGTGTGAGAAGATGAAATTAAGAGAAACAATTTTTACATTTGTGTAGGTTTTTTTTTATGCATCCATAATATTTTAAAATAAATCAAGAAAAATTCATTGTTTTGTGTAATAATATGGAAGTTCAAATCAAGAACATGTGGAATATGTAAAGTTCTGTTGATCTGTTGAGGATTGGCTTCTGGTATTACTGTTTTTCTGGTGTGAATGATGATGATTAATTTAATTGAGACTGATAATTTTTAGAATTATCTCTAATTTTTGATATTCAGGTGCCTTCACACTAGCTATTGCGATTCAGGTGCATTCACACTAGAGCACTTTGTTGCACTAGATTTGCAACCTAATGTAAAGGCATCTGAACATTAGAACCTAGTGTAAAGGCATCTGAATATCAGAACCTAGTGTAAAGGCACCTAAACATTAGAACCTACTGTAAAGGCATCTGAACATTAGAACCTAGTGTAAAGGCATCTGAATATCAGAACCTAGTGTAAAGGCACCTAAACATCGAAACCTAGTGTGAAGGCTCCTGAATAAAATTTTAATACAACATTTCCCTCACAACGCGATTTCCACATACAAAAAAATACATTTTCCTGATTCACGCCATCCTCTTTCCGGTGTATGACGATTTAAACTAATTTTTCTTGTTCTGTTTTGTTTAATTCTCATTCATTCACACACGCCAGACGTCACAACGTCACACATATTGCATGTCATGTCTTATTATTTAGCCTCATATGTTACAATTACTATGGCAGTGAAAATGTATAAAAAATGAGGAAAATTTTCTATTTTATTTTTCACAAAAAAAGGGGGGCTTGAGCTTGTATGTTTGACCTGAGAATTGAAACCGTAGAAATTTTTTTTCTTTCATAAATTGTTGCAAAAATATTTTAATTGCCTCAGTAGAAAAAAATTTCATTCACGATTAAAAATTTATTTTTTATTTAACTAATAACTTTTCGACGTGCGTTTTGTTTGAAATTAAAAATAAGAACTTTTTTTGCGCTTAGTTGGAAAATTGTGTGTTTTTTGTGACTATGGATTTGTATATTTGCATACATGTATAAAAGAACATACATTCCATGATGAGACGCAGTTGGCAATTTAAACAAAGTTTCGGATGGAGTCAGGATTGAGGAAAATGGGGTTAAAATGGTCGATGGTTGCGAAATGTTAGCGCGTTTTTCTCGCTTAACTGGTTGAGAAAAACGAACTCACAATGACAAGATCAACGCGCTCATGTTATTTTGACAACCGTTCTCATTATTTTGAATTAAATTGTTCTAATTTTTGAGAAAAACGCGCTCAGTAAAAAATTCCCAACCCGAGAAAACTGCGCTCAACAAAAGCTCATTCCTAGATTCTCAACACGATCTCGTATAGTAAAATGTAAATAAATGGTACACGGCCGTACTTTTTATAAACAAATTCTGACTCCAAAATGAATTAAACATTCCCGATCTGCTTTTTGTGGCTAGTGTTTATGCGCTGACTGACTGACAAACTATTATTTTCATGACTAAACTGCTATTTTTTGCTTCTTCTCCGGCTCAACTTGTTTGTTTACATTTAAAATTTGAATCTATTTTTTTCTGTGAGAGATTTTTTTTTCATGTTTATCATTTTTCATTATTTTTGTTCCTTCTTCTTGATTGGGATTTTTTGTGTATTTTTAAATTTCTTTTTTTCGCTTGTTTTATAATTTATTAAAATTGTTGGAAAGAATTTTTCAAGGAAAAGAAGAATTTTTGAAATATTTTTGGAGTTAAAATAGAAAAAAAAATTTTTGAGAGAAAATAATGAGTTTTAAACTTTTTGCATCATTTTTTTTACATTTCGCAAATTTTTTTACATGTTCGCATCACTTTTCACAGTTTTGCATCACTTTCTCACATTTTTGCATCATTTTTTGAAGTTTGCATGTTCTTAACTTTCTCGAATCATTTTTTCAATTTTTCGCATCTAATTTTTGAAATTCGCATCTTTTTTACATTTTCGCATCATTTTTTGCCTTTTCGCATCACTTTTCACACGTTTGCATCACTTTTCACACTTTTGCAACAGTTTTTTTAAATTTTGCATCAATTTCAAATTGTTGCTTCAGTTTTTACATTTTCGCATCATTCTTTTACTTTTTTGCATCACTTTTTTACAATCTCGCATCACTTTTTACAGTTTTGCATCACTTTTTAAAGTTTTGCATCACTTTTTACAGTTTTGCATCACTTTTCACAGTTTTGCATTACTTTTCACATTTTCGGATCATTTTTTCGAAAGAAAAACTAAAGCTAACTTCAAAATTCAAAAAATCCCGTCAACATAAAAACAAAATCCAATCTCAAAACAGAAATAAATACAAAATTTATGTAGTCATGAAATGATTCACATTGAAAAATGACCAAAATGATTTACATTTTAAAAGTGAATCGTAAATAATAAATTTTTATAATCCACTGAAAATTATTTCCAAGATGCCAAAAATAAAAACACTTCTTAAATCTTTGCGCGCTTTTTTTCTTCTTTTTTATTTGAGATATTTTCTTAATATATTCAGCCACGTGAGAAATTTGTTGTCTTAAAGACAGATTTTATGAATTCGTTTAGTAAGGTTGGTTGATTTAGAATAGCTTAGGTTGAGGATGTTGAAGCCCTGATCATAAATCAGTTGATGTAAAGCAGTGATAGCCAACCCATGTGTCGCGGCACACTAGTGTTCCACAGAATTTTTTTAATTGCCAAGAATCGCCAGTCGCGTGTGATTTTGGTCATGACTCACCATCAAAGTGTGCCGTGGCACAAAAAAGGTTGAGCATCACTGATCTAAAGCATAGCATAAAGCACAAGTCTTCAGAGATGACTAATTGATTTTACAATCAAGTGCCACGGATTATGGTTTGAGAAGCACTGTAAAATTGTTTCCATAGCTAGTAAGCCCAGTTGGTTATCCTTCACCTGTCAGGTTGAGTTCCAGTTCAAATAAGAATTATTCAAACATTGATTGATATAAGAATCTGTTAGGATCACTTAGTTCTTGAAGGATTCCTGTCCGTTGTTCTTTGTGTATATTTAAGAATCTTATAAGATTTGGTAAAATTAAGGCTTTATTGCTTGATGCCTTTATGATTTCATGTATGCAATTTTTTAACTAAGTGCAGTCTTGAGTGTCATAAGGCATTGCATAATCTGTCTGTGTAAAGGAAGAGCTCTTCTTGCTCAATCATTGGAAGTCTCACATTTAAAGACGCTCAAATTCATTTCTGCCTGTTTGTTGATCTCTTAATTCTGTCAATATGACAGCAGTTCCAATAAATTTCTCATCTGACCATGAAGCTAGACTGTGACACGAGGACTGTCTCAAAAAAAGATCCCC